CTAAGAAATACAGACAAATAAGTGGTCATTTGCAGCATGTTTTGGTGTACGTATTTCTTCCAGGACTTTTTTTTTTTTAAGAACTCCCATAGTGGAAGCAGGGATTGAATCCAACTCCTTGGTGCGTTTAATCACAACCTTCTCTTCTTGCAATCCTGCAGCTGTTTGCTAGGCGTTTTCCAATTTCGACCAGAGGTGATCTGGGGTCACAGACCTCCCTTTGCTTCCCAACCCTCGCTGCTTCGGAGTGCTGCCCGTCCTCTGTGAGGCAGGGCTGCTTGCAACAAGTCTGATAGCCCGGGTAGACCATGCGCATGCTCAAGGGCAAGGACTACTGCAGCAAGCTCTGCAAYGTCCGTAGCATTTACACGCACCCAGATTAATGAAGGGTTTAATATAGAGAAAGTTGCAAAGTCTGTAAGGGTTGATGTTTTCTGTGAGGACTTGAGAGAAGGGAGAGGTTGAGACATTTGTCTCCTGCTGGCAACTCAGTCATGAGATGTGGAAGGCACGGATTCTGCCTTAAAGGAAGGTGAGTCGCAGGGGTTAAATCTTGCTTTCTTCCAGCCTCTTTGCCAGCCTTCTCCCTGTTCTCTGCTCACGCCCTTCGTACCACTTCCCCCCAAAATAGTCCTTTTTTCCATCTCTTTACCCTCCATATGTAGCTGTCCCAAAAGCAGACTTGTAGGTTTTCATAGAATCGTAGAATGCTTAAGGTTGGAAGGGACCTCCAGAGATYGTCTAGTCCAACCCCCTGCACACGCAGGGTCACCTAGAGCATGTGGCCCAGGGCTGCATCCAGGTGGATTTTAAAGATCTCCGGAGAAGGAGACTCCACAGACTCTCTGCGCAGCCTGTTCCAGTGCTCTGTCACTCTCACTGTTAAGAAATGTTTTCTTAAGTTTCTGTGGAACTTTTGGTCATTCAATTTATGGCCGTTTTGGGCTCATCTGCTTTCTCTCTCAAACTGCTTTGAGATCTAACTCATTCTGATGCCTTGCTAAATAACAAGGAGGAACCTGCCTGTTCACGTCCTTTTCATCTCTGGAGTCCTTGAGGCTTTTCTCCCTCGTATGTGAGCACTCGGATTTAGGAGGTCCTAGCACAGAGAGCCTGCTCCTCTGTGGGAAAGAATTTAATGGACATTACTCTCAGTAATGTCATTAGTGGTGCTGTTGAACTGTTCCTGCTGAGTTCTTCTGTTTCCAATAAGAATTTTTTAACAAAGTTGTACACGATATATATGATTTGCACATATAGAATAGTGGGCAATATTAAATTAGCAGTTAATTGGCAATGAGAGTTCAAATGCGGTGGGACTGCCTTTGCTGTGGTAAAAGACTATTCCTCTCACCTTGCTCGCTCCGGGTTTTGTTTTGATGCCAGGCGTGTTTGCTACCAGTTTATCCAACTGTGGCATATCAGCTGCGTGTCCGAGGATCCTCAGCCACCATGAGTGGCCTTGGGATTTGCTGCGAATGTTGTTCCTCAGGGAAGGGCGCAGCGCGCTGCCCAGGAAAAAAAGCAAATGCTGTCACAGCAAGCGATGCACCACCAGGGGAAAGTGTTTTTTAAAAGTAGGAAAAATATTTTTGCGGCTATCGTTCAGCAGAGGTATTCACTGGGTTCCYTTAACAAGCATGGCTTTATGCTGCACGATTGCTTGGAATGGCCCTGTGCTTGGGAAAAGCAGCCTGGTGTAACAAGGCTCCTGGTGTGGCAACTCTCGGCAAACAGGAGCCTCCTTGTGTCGTAACCTCCTGTGATGTTAGCGGCGTTGAGTAAACTCTGGCTAAAGCTCTCGTAATAACTACGGACAGCCCTGGYCTGGCCTGGGCTGAGGAAATGGCATCACTGGATCTCGTCCGTTCCGGTGAGTCACTTGAGCGTTCATGATAGTTTCCAATCRGCATCTTGGCAGCCTGGCTGCTTTTGAGAATCCCATCTCAAAATGCAGAGGTGAGAAGAGGGGTTTGGTTAAGAGGAGCAAACATTGCACCTACCATAAGGTACAATGAGGTTTTGGCAGCTTGGTATATTGGCACTGTCCTCACAACTACTTTGGGTACTGTCTTCTACCTCTGGTGGTGCTGGTGACAGGCTGTAGTGCTGCAAATACAGATTTGCATGCAGCATAAGTACTGGAAATTTAGACTAGCAAAGTGCTTTTCCGTTCATGTCAGAACATACTGCTCCTACAAATTTGATGCATTTCCAGGTTTCAGAATACTTGATTTAAATGCAACCAAAAGATTCARCTGTCATGAATGCTGTTAGTGTTGTCCTTGTCATCTGCACTGCTCCAAGCAGTAGCCACATTTTAAGCATCCAACTTTTTGGCTCAGTTACATGATGCTGATGATGTTCCTCGAAACGCTTGCCAGAGCTGGTGAGACCTAGGGTGTGTTTATTTTAAATAAAAAGAATTAGTTAACAGATGCTGATATCTCCAGCAAATCCTCCAAAATAAGAAATTATTACTGTAAATAAATTAATGCAAATCAATGATGAGGTTGGAAATAGCTGTCTTAATTTTCCAGGGATTGCTCTGCAGGCTGCTATCTGAAGGAATGTCTGAACTCAACAAGCATGAAGTTTTTGAGAACAAATATGGGGTCTTTTGGGACATGTTGCACCATGTGAACYATTTCCATAGGCATGGAGACCGCTGAAGATGAGGATAATCTTCTGTAGGAAGAAGGCTCAGCAGCAGCAGCCTGTTCTGGAGTGTTCTCATTTTGAGTAGAAGTAATGTCAATCACGCAGCAAGTAAAGTATCGACTTCACTGGCAGAGAATACAGTTCGGGTCTCTCAAAGCTGCAAGATTCATGCCCACAGAAGGAAATAAAAGGGTGAAATATTTGGTGACTTCCTTCTGAAAAGCTGTAGGGATTCCCRCACGAACTTGCTGCAGCCTGTGCTGCTTGACCACCTGCAGTGACGACAGGAGTCAGACTAAGGGAATCAAAAGCAATTCCTAGGGCTTTGGAAGAGGGTAAAAGATTAGAAAATAATATTAGTGATGATATTTACCCAAATATTTATACAACACGTTTGTTCAAAGGATGTTATTTAGAGGCATCTGCTGAAAGGGGATACTRAAGGAAAACAAAAGATGGGAAAGACGGGTCTGTCATGAAGATAAGAAGAGATGGATGAGACTGTTGGAGTGCCTGGCAGGATTTTCCAGAAGTTACTGATAAGGACTGATAAATTTAAATTATCCCAGTATTTGCTGGAATAGCTGTGCAGCTGGATGGAGAGATCGGCAGGTCTGCAGTGCTGCAGGTTGTGGCTCTGCACGTGGAAACCTGTGAGCAGGGGAGGTTCGTGCATCGTTGATGCTGCGCAGGAGGAAGTTTAGCCTGAAGAGAGCACTACACGAAGGTGTAGATCCTCAAATACAGTGGAGGAAGGGAATAATCCGTTCTCCCATGCCCGTGGCAAATAGGATAAACAGTAATAGGCTTATATTGCATCAGAGACAGCTGAGGATACGCTTGAGGAGAAAATTTCTCCTAGGAAATGTAGGGAAGCTTTTTCCAGAAGCTTTGGGAGGCCTCAGTGTTAGAGTTTTGGAGCAGGGGAGTAGACAAAGCTGACAGAGCAGATAAAACTTGTGTGTGGTTTATCCTGATTTGGTTTGGCTGATTTCCAGTCCTGGAAAAATCAAATATTACCAATTGCTAGAAAGTATTTTAAACTTCAAGTGAATCATTTTAAAGCTTTCACACATGTGAAAAATAACCCCTGAACCTGCAGCTAAATAATGTGAATTATGCATTTGCAAGGTGAAGGAAACGCGTGGTAGAGACAGGGGGTTGGATTACCTGGAGCAGTGGCGTGCTCTGACAGTCCTCGAGCTGCTGCTGTGTCACAGCCTGGCTGCCACTTCTCCATTTGCTCCTGGATCAGAACTTTGCGATCTCTGTAACACCCACTGCTGCTTCCCCACGTGGTGGTATTAAGGGTTAGGGTTCAGGCAGTGTCACTTTTTTACTTAATTTACTTGATGAATTTTGTAGTGGAAAAGGGGAGGTATGAGGAAGGAGACACTTGGTGTTCCTCTCTTGCATCCTTTCTTGGGCTCTTGTCTCCTCCTCAGTAGCTCTAATTATCGTCTTGGAGCTTGGCCTGCATTGCCATGGCTAAGCAAGGGGCCTCCTCCTTYGGGTTTTTTTGGGTCATAAAGAAGTGGATATTATAGTGACTTGTTTCTTTGCTCCATTTTCACAAAGCTTCTTGGGATGACTAAGTGGCTTCGTCTGCTAAAGCACCCTTACCATATAGAGATGAGATTAGTTCTGGTCCCTTCCTCGTTGGCCAGCTCYTACGTAAATCTCTAGCCTCTCCCTGCCACTCTTGGTGGGTAAATGCCCAAGGAAAAGTAAAACCCAGAGCCCTTCTTTCAGCTGTGTGGATTTCCTAAGCTGGTGTTTCCAGGATGCTTAATTTGTGATCTGAAATCTCCTTCGTGGAGGGGAATGGGCAGCTCGCACCCACTCGCTTTGTGTATCGCCCAAGGCCTCTTTACTGTGAGCTGCGGGCAGTAGCTCCTTGGCATTTGCAAAATTCAACGGCTAGCTCTTAGTGCCATCGTTTGTGCTGCTGGGCRAAGTGGTGAACAGAGAAGAGATTTTGCTGCGGCGTCTCCATCCATGTCCCTCAAAMTGTTGGAAATCCCCTCTCTGGTGCTTTTGCTCTCTCAACCTATAGAGTAGGTAAACAAATGCTAAAAGCTACTSTTTTCCCCTTCTTTTTGTGTGTTTTATTCTTGACCCCCTCAGCCGTATGTTGACATATCTTGGGGGGCATTTTTTCTCGGAAGGATGTGAATTTGGGCTTGGATGATTCCAGGTGCTTGCCAGCTCATAAGACGGCTGTAACATACCCCCTGGTATAAAAGTTCTTTCTTACTGATTGCCAACTTAATGGTTGCCTGTTAGCATCCCGGTTACAACGTGCACCGAAGGGGTTAACAAATCWCTGTTTTGTTTTTCAGCTATGGCAGCCATTCGGAAAAAACTGGTTATAGTGGGTGATGGTGCCTGTGGAAAGACCTGTCTGCTGATTGTATTTAGCAAAGACCAGTTCCCTGAAGTGTACGTTCCCACTGTGTTTGAAAACTACGTAGCAGATATCGAAGTGGATGGAAAGCAGGTATGTGTGTGGTCCTGTCACGGTCAAATGGACTTGCTTTTATTCTGAAAAACACGGAGATCTCTGATTATCAAAGAAGTTTAGTACATGTGCTTACTGTTTTTTAACAAATGCATTTCTGAATATTAAGCCTGCTTTCCTGAGCAAATATCAGCCTTGCTAGATCGTGCTTGTAGATGAGGTCTGTTTAACAAAATTTCAGATATCGAGACAGATTCAGCATAACTCCTCATTCTCATTTCTGATTTCMGGAAAAAGAGCTAGGATTGGGTTTTGTCTTAAATTCAGTTTCCCAGTGTTACAAGCATGGATTACTTGTGGGTATAGTCATTAAACTTAATGCTTTTCCACTCTTAAAAGAAAATGCCTCTCTTCCATCATATGACTATATAGAAAATATTTTTATTTTAGGCTAATAATAGAATATGTTCTCCTCCCCGGCGACAGTTTCTGCTGTTGTGTCTTAAACTCGGTAAGGGCTGTTAGATGAGGGCTGTTTGTTATGTTAAGATACACATGATACCCATTTTTGTCTCTGATGCCGTGGTCAGGTGCAGCCTGCCTCCTTCCCTCTGCCTGAACCTCTGCGTCTGTAAATTGGTTGAACAGGGGAGTTGTGCCCCATCAGCCTCACAAAGGCTCTGCATCTCGCTTGCAAAATGGCATGAGCCTGAGCAGCGAGCTCTCCATTGGGAAAACGTCGGCCAGGTTTCATGCCACTCRATGACGTAGTCCCCCAAGCACTTGGTCTTCTGCACACCTCATGGCGTGGGTTTGTAGGGGAGCAGCGAGACTGGGGGTTGGCAGCTGCTTCCCTGCAGCCCTTTTAGAAGAGCAGCTCCAGAAATGGCCAGAAGCCGTGTGAGGAGAGGCAGTGGTGATGGGAGACGTGCCTTTTTAGACAGGCTGGAGGACCTGATTTCGGCACTATCTGAGGGACCCACCAACAGACAGTGTGGTGGAAAAAAGGAGCGTTTGCCACAAAATTCACATTTGCACCTGTGAATGCGGAGAGAAGTCTGAGAGGAGTCTGTGTATCTCCCTGAAATAGGGAAGAATTTCTTTACACACTCTTCATTATAGGCACATATCTTAGCCATTTAACCACACGGTCACACTGCACATTCAAGCCCACTTTGGGTTTCAGATCTGCCTGTTTTTTCCTGAGCTACTCTGGGAGGGTTGGACTAGGTGATCCCTAGAGGTCCCTTCCAACCTCAAGCATTCTATGTGATTCCGAGTTTTGTTCCGAATTTGTACCCATCAGAGTGGAGGAAAGCAGCTCAGCCAGAAGACAGTCACATCAGAGAGTCACATTGGTTTTTGCTCCTGTGCTTTTAAGCAGTCCTCCAGGGTGATTCTCCCCTTAGCACCACCGTAAGTAGAAACATTGGGAACACGGTCTGTGTTATTCAGCTCTTAGCGACAAAGAGCTTTGTGTGCAAATCAGCTTTATTCCGAGGCAAACTGCAGGTTCACATTCTTGCTGTGATGGAGGTTTAATGAATTTGTGTACAAATGAGCACTGCATTGACATTTCTTAGTCGCTGAAGGTTCCAGCTGCAAACCAATTGCAAACGTGCCTGATCCCAAAAGGCATGTGCTCAGAGAGCTCCCTTTCAGTGAAAACAGATATTTCTGGAGCACTTATCAAAGAGATCCCCAGGCCTTTGGAGCCAATTCCCTTTGATTCTTTCTTATTGTTTTTATTTTGATGGCTTTTAATGTCTCAGAGAATTGACAACAGCCCTGGGTATAATGAAAAGTCTCATAATCACAATAAATATGATTTTTGGAGTTATGGAGCAACACRTTTCTAACAGTTCTCCCATAGAAACGATGCGCCCTGTGTTCTCCTTTGAAGTGGTGTCGAGTGAAAGCCATTTATCCACTCCAGGTTGTGCGTTTCCGAATCGGAGCTTCCCTGCCCGTTTGGCTTACAGCTCTGATCTTCTTTCACAGGTCGAGTTGGCTTTGTGGGATACAGCAGGACAAGAAGACTACGATCGACTTAGACCGCTTTCTTACCCAGATACCGATGTTATACTTATGTGTTTTTCAATTGATAGTCCTGATAGTTTAGGTAAGTGTATCGATAATTGAACCGGAAGCATTTCTCTGCGATCTCCCTAGGGGATTAGAAAGATTAATCCCTTTCCGTGTGTATTAATGACTGAGAACACTTTTAGCTTCAAAATTGGTGCTGGGTCAAGTGTACAGCTTCCAGGAATTAGGATTTTCAAGGACCGTTCTCAAGGATCCAAGTCAACAGAGTGGCACAGCCCACTCCAGGCTTCGCCGGCTTTGGGCACGGTCATTTCAATTTCTGCGTGGAAAGTGAGGATTGTTACGCCCTCAGGACCAAGCTGCATCCAGGACTACATAGCAACTCCCTTTCTGTCCGATGGGAATGCTAGCTTTGTGTTTTCACCCTCTTTTCTTTCCCCCCCCGCCCTTATTTCTTCAAGAAGGATCAGCCTGATACCTGCTAAGTCCTTTGGTCCTTAATAGGCTGTTGCTCTGAAAACAGCCTGGCACGGAGAGGGATTTCCTGTAGAAAATGATGACAGAGGCTGCAGATTTAGGCTACCCTAGCCTGTTCTCCACGGTCTGCAGCATCATTGCAGTGGAGAAGGTGGAAGAAAAGACTTGTTTGATTTATGACTCGTAAGCCCTGAAAACGTGTTTCARATACCTGCTCGTGCACTGGATGCACATCTTTTCTGTATGCCATCCAACACTGAAATTTTAAGCAATAGATTCAAAAGTCTGATGCAGATAGGCATGTGTTTGATTCTACAAAGTATTTCTGAGGAGAAGTAAAGAGCAGGAAATAGAGGTGCATTTCTTTCAAAGACTGAAAACATCTCTGCATGTTCAATTTCTTTCCTGTTAAAACAGTGATTACCCCTCCAGTATAGTCTTCTAAATCAGTTTGGGCTAGGATTTTCTTGAAAAAGCAAAGGAATTACTTCCAAAATTCAGTTACCTGCTTCTCAATGRGGAATTTTGTTCCAAATTTGCTGGGTTTATAGTTTTTAATTAAAATGCAGATGATGAAGAGAAAAATCTTTATGTGCTCGGAGTCTCGGGGCATGAGAAGGAGCGCGGGTGGATGTATATGTGTGAGACTAGCTGGAACTTGCACACGGACTTCGGGAATGACGACTGGCTGCTATTTGCAGCTGGTCAAAAGTACATCCATACATTGTGCACAGAGGCAGCTCCCTGCCAGGAAAAATTGAGAGGTCCCTCTGTTCTGTGGATAAATGCAGGGTGTCAAATCTATTTAAGTCATGCTCAAAAAGGAAATACAACTTATCTCCCAAATACACTAAGCCGTTGAATCCACCAGAGTTTTCTGCTGCAAAGACCATCGTGATCACTGCAAGCTGCTCTCAAAGCAGCTTTTTTTTTTCCCCCACACCTCTGCTCCTGCCTCTTGGGGTTGGGTCTCAAGAAGAAACCACGAATAAGGCAAAAAGGAGACAGGAAGCACAAAAAYGGCAGCTCATGTGAGGGCTGGGCTTGAATATATCTGCCCTGGTGGTCAAAAAATACTGTTTCTACCACAATTTGTAGAAAGCTTAAGTAAATGAGCCTACAAAATAGATGTTGCAGTGGCTGGACCCATGAATCCCAGTGTCCCAGTTTGGGAAAGCAGAGCCTGGATGATTTTGGTTGTGCAAYACTCTGCTGTAAGGAATCAATCACAGCTCTGCTTGCAGAAACCTCAAGTCTTACACTCCAAGCTGCAAGTCAAAAAAAATATGTAGGGAAGTTGTTAGGAGACAAAAGATTATTGTATATGAGTGCAAAATTGCTGTAGATAAAGAAAAAGAGCAAATCTACAACTGACTTGGGAAAAAGTCTTCTGTGCAACTGAAACCAGCATGTAGAATGTCTGGCAGCAGAACCAAACTTTAAAAGAAAATCATTGTAAGTGCTAGATGTCATTATAGCCACACTTCTATGTATGTGTGTATGCATATATATATTATATATATATTTTTTTTTTCCACAGAAAACATCCCAGAGAAGTGGACCCCAGAGGTGAAGCATTTCTGCCCCAATGTGCCTATCATCTTGGTAGGAAATAAGAAGGACCTGAGGAATGACGAGCACACAAGACGAGAGCTGGCCAAAATGAAGCAGGCAGGTTCCCCTTCCCGCGCCGGGCAGTGAGAGCAGGCAGCACCCAACGGGTGTGTGCAGCTTGCTGACTGCTTCCCAGGGAGAAAACACAGAGCACAAAGCGGAGGTGTTCCTGTGACAGAAAGTAGAAAACGTGCATCGCCTTTGAGTGCTTTGTTTCTCATATCRTGTATTTTAAAAGGCACTTTCAGTGGTGAGAATTGCTCTGTTAGGAACTGTTAGGTTCCTGACAAGGAACCTGCTCTAGACTGAAGAACTGGATTCATGAGGGAGAAATGAAGTAATGTGGAAGCAAGTAATTTGGAGACGCTGATGGATCGAGTAGATGCACAGTTGAATTTCTGTTCTTTATTTTTTATGTTGGAGACATGTAAGGAAACAGCTTCCCTGGTAGGTGTTTTGCAGTAGTAGCCACAGATGCTGTTGCTCTTTCCTGGCCCTGGAGCTTAGTTTCATTTTCAGATCATGTCTGAAAGCCCCTGTCTTGGGTATAAGACAGCAAATAATCTGCTCCCTCTTGGACTTTTTGTTCCTGTTGCATAATGTTTATTTTTAGACAAAGACTGATGAGCCAATTTGGAGRGTTGTTCATAGGCTTTTGTTACTATTATAGTGTAAGTGCTTAGTGCCACATGCGAGCAAGCTAGAATTTCAGAAAGCCCTGGGTCTTTTGAAGCCAGAGGTGTAGCAGAGTCTATACGTCCCCCCAAGTGCTGGGAAGTAAACGCGCAGGCTGTGTAAAGGCAGCTGAGAGATGCCCTAAGACATAACCRCATCTGCAGTAACTAGGCAAATTTTCTTTTAAATTTCCCTTTGGTTATTTTAAAGGATGGATCACAATGCCCTGCTTGATAATACAGTAGCCTTTTGACGTTTATTTAATGTAGGAATTGGTTTGCATTTATTGAGAGGCCGGATGGGGGTGAAAACGAGAGCGCGTTTGGTGCGTTTCGGTGGTGGTCTTACCTGCCCTTGCTTTTGTGTTGCTACAGGAGCCTGTCAAACCTGAGGAGGGAAGAGACATGGCAAACCGCATCGGTGCTTTTGGGTATATGGAGTGCTCGGCAAAGACCAAAGACGGTGTGAGGGAGGTGTTTGAAATGGCCACTAGAGCTGCTTTGCAAGCCCGGCGTGGCAAGAAAAAGTCCGGGTGCCTTCTCTTGTAAAGCGTGGCCAGGGGAAGGTGGCCAAAGGAGCACCCTGCACTTGAGTAATTTTGAAGTGCTGTTTATTAATCTTAGTGTATGATTACTGGCCTTTTTCATTATCTATAATTTACTTAAGAGATTTAAAAATCGAGTCATCTTGCTACCAGTATTTAGAAGCCAACCATGATTTTTATAACAATCTGCATCAAATTCATCTGTGCACCCAAGGTTAACCTCAACATTCCTCTAACAAACCTTTTCTGCGCTCACAGGATATGCCAGGCGCTAACTGAAGACAATTCTTTATCTTCTTTCTCCTCTCTAGAAAGAGAAAAAAAAAAAAAGCTGGCAACACAGAGGATTGGTCTGTAGCTACTTTATAACTAATGTCCTATTCTAATTGAGTACAACCGTTAAATGGCTGTATGTGGAATCGAGTGTAGCTTCAGTGCTATCACATTTAGAAAGATTTGATTTCCATGGCTCTGTGGTGTAAAACATTAGTTTGGAAATGTGATCACTCTGAAATGACCAAGTCCCATTCAGCTAAGGAAAAGTGAGGGTTCTGTGGTTTCATGTTAGTTACCTTTTAGTTACTGTGTAATTAGTGCCAGTTTAAATGTATGTTACCAAAAATAAATCTATTTACCCCAGCTTAGATGTAGTATTTTTTGTATAATTGGATTTCCTAATACTGTTACTTGTAACCTCTGCATTAAGGTGTTCTGGGTTTTTTAAGAAACTGTATTTGAAAATAAAGTCCGATGGAAAGCAGCCGATCCTCTTCCCCTGCTCATTTGTAAGAGTGACCCCATTTTGAATGGCTTGAGTGGCCTCATACCCAGGAGGAGAGTTTTTTCTGTCACGTGCCCTAGGGATGAGGAAAGTCAGCCTGCTCACACACTCAAAGCTTCTGAACTGTTCAGTTGCCTTAAATTCATTGCTGGACCCAATTTCACAACTAAAGGAGAAAAAAAAAGAAAAAAAAAATGCAACTTTTTGTGTAAGTTTGGTTACCATGTAGTGATCAGACTCCTAACCTGTGAACTTCTTGCTGTTCTGCAGCCAAACTAGACTCTTTCTGTATTCTCATTTTTCCAACAACTAATAGAATAAAGGCAGTTTTCTAAGCTCCCTGTATCCTGGTGTCTGTATTCCTCACTCTGGGGGTTGTGGTCCGGCATCTGCCCAACTGGAGCAAAAACGGTGTTTTTGATAGCGCTGTCCTAGGAACCGCCTGCTAGTTGGCAAGGGTGTTTTGGCGGGTTTTGTTGCTTTCCCAGTGAGCGATTCCCATATAGTGCTGCAGCCCGGGAATCCCTCACCTTGTAGTGAGGGGCAAAGCTTCTCCAGAAGCCGCTTGCCGCTGCCTGTATCTTCATGGCCCACGGGACCAAGACCATATTGAGACCAAAGCAGCTTCTCCAACAGTCGAGGTGAATTTGTCATCTTGAATGTGAGTGCAGAGGAGGAAGGGAGCGTAGGAAGAAGGGGATGTTAAGACACTTGGAGGAGCAGCGCATCATGGCCCGTGAGATGTCCCAGGTGGTGCCGTTTCTGTGTAACCTGCCGCTTTCATGGGCGGTGTCCCGAGTGCCGCGGCGCAGGGAGCCCTCTCCTTGTGGATGAGAAATGATGTGAAAGTCGGCAACGTCACTGCTGTTGTGGTGTTGGCCTGAGCGTCGCCGTAGAAAAGATGGATGTGAAGAAGTCTCCGTCTTGACGCTGAGCAGCGTTAGGGAGCACCTGGCTGCGTCCCTGCTGTGGCCTGGGAGTATTTGTTGCTCTGGGGGTGGAGAGGCACGTGGTTTTGGACAACGTTCCTGCTCCTTCCTGCAGAAGAGGAGCGACAGCCCCAGGWGGAGGCCTGCGTGGCCCCGGGCTCTACTGTCCCCCCACAGCTGTGACCACCATGGAGCTAAGTGTCCTGCCAGCACAGCAAGCGGTGGCACCGGCCCTGCCCTTCCTCCTCTTCACCTTTGTGTCCGGCCTCTTTTCCAACAGGAAGTTCTGCCTGGTGCCTGTAAGGATTTCTTTTTCTCGATATTTTAATGAGCTTTCTCGTCCCTGTTCTCATAGCTCTGGAGYTGAGAGAAAAACGTGACTTGGTCTTGTGGAGACGGAGCGGTAGGTGGCTACGGTCTCGGTTACAGAGCAGCTCTTTGCTCCCAGGGAGGTTCAGTCAGGGCTGTGTGCACCTCAGGCCCAAACCATGCAGTCCGTGTCCATCTGCTCTTCTAATCAGAAGTGATTAATTTGCTATCTCTGTTTTAATTTAAGCTCCCTCTAATCTACCGAGCTATTGCTGCAGTCTCCTCCATCTTGGCCACCAGCTGGCATTACTTCTCCACACCTTATCTGTGTTTCTCCATGTTCAGATCTGCTGGCAAGTTGGTGTCTCCACTTGTGCCCTTGTCTCCAGCTCCCTCTCCTTGTCTGCTGGACAAGGGGTGTTGGAGCAGAACGCGGGTTTATGCCCGTGTGGCGCTATCAGTCTTGCACAAGCTCATCTTGCTTTAGAAAGGGGACAGCCTGGCTCCCTTGGTGTGCAGATCACACCTCTTGCCTCCACAGGCCATGTTTATTCCAGAGGAAAAGGAACTCRAGTTCCCAGGGTGTTATTTCAAGGGAGCTCTAGACATCTCTCTGCATCTGAGTTCAGCTGGTCCTAAAAAAATGCATCTAGGCACAAGGTACAACTCCAAAACCCCAAAAGAGTTCAGCGAAACTGTTAGGTTCCTTCAAAATCTTCTCATTACAGAAGGGAAAGGTTTAACCTGCTCTTCTCTGAAAAAAAAAAGAAAAAGAAAGAAAAAGAAAGAGAAAAAATAGGGCTCCACAAATAAACTCCCACCTCAAATGCAATCCTCAGGTGCAGACTGAAGCCCAAAAGTGGCACTGAGTGAGCAGAAAAGTCAGCAGCAACGTTGGCTAAAAGAGAAGCTGCCTGCATTGCCCCAGARGTCGCCCTGAAGAAAAGTTCCTCAATGCACAAGAGCTCACAGTGCCCATGGGGCGGGCAGTGAATCTGACCTTGGGGTTGCTCAGACCCAGACACGCACGCACCGTGTGTCTGCTCCTCCGTTAGAGGTTTTTCCGAGGTTTGCTCAGAGTCCCTGATCTCAGGACAGCTGCCGTGACATCTGATATCAAAGCTGCAACATGTCGGGAAGAAAAAAACACACTTCTCCGAAACGTCTGGAGATAGAAGATAATCAGGCAACGGTCCCAAACCTCCCTGACCTGCTCCAGTTTGTAGCTGCAGCTGCGGGTGCCAAGAGCGACCCAAGTCAGAGGCTGGCACGGAGGGAAGAGCCATTTCAGTGCCAGCCRGTATTAGGAAGAGTCTCTAATGTCGGGCAGAAAAGTCAACAAGCGGCAGTAAAATGAAAGCAAGGGGGAGGGCCCAGCGCGTCAGAGCCCGAGCGCCTTCCCCGTTGGGGGTTTGGGCTGCCTGGGCTCCGGGCCAACTCTGATAAGCAGCTGTGCAACCTTGAAACTGCCGTGAGCTGCTGCAAAAATAAGAGCCCCCGCAAGGATTTCCCTGTCCCCATAGACAGATATTTGCCCTTTCTTTCATAACCTGCTCTTGTTCCRCAGTCGCTCTCGGGGGGAAGCGGCTGCTGGGGGAGCTGCCAGGCCTCGCGCTGCGTTTGCGGCTGCCGGGAGCACCAAGGCTTTGGCTCAGCACAGCTTCAGCTTTCGTGGCCTTTCCCATAGCACTGTGGAGAACTGCTGACCCTCATGTCAGAAATCTATAGGTCTCTGGATAAACAAGCTCATTCTGCAGTTTTCATGCACATCGAGCCTTTCGACGGAGGCTTGGAAAGGGCTGTGGCACCAGAGTGGCCACATTAAACTGGAGTCAAGCGATCAAACGCTCCATGGCGAGCGCGGGGCTCAGCGGTCTTGGAGCGACGCAGCCTCCAGGCCCAGGCGCAGCTGGGGAGAGGAGAAAGGGAAAGGGGAACTGGAGAAGGGGCAGGGGAAAGGGGGCAGGCAAAGGAGAGGAGAAAATGCACACTGAGAAAAAATAAAAAAAAAAGAGGGAAAAGGAAGAAATAGGAGAAAGGGGCAAAAAAAAAAGAAAGAAAAAAAAAGAAAAAAAAAGAAAAAAAAAGAAAAAAAAAGAAAAAAAAAAGTATTTTCCCCATGAGGGAGCAGAGGGGCCGGCGCCCCAGGCCCTGCAAGCGCGACCGGCCCCGCGACTCCGCGGAACGGAGCGGGGCGGCGCGGGGC